GAGCAGGGACAACTTGCCCTCCTCCGAGTCCAGGTCCTGCGGTGGCATTGACTGGTCCCCCCGGGGCCAGTGGCACCCTTGGGGGGGGCCGGCGTTGCCAGATCGGGCATCTCCTCCAGCAGCGCCTCCTGGTTCCATGGGTTCTGCGCCTCTCTGAGCCTCCGGATGTAGGGGACATACTTCTCCTTGATGTCCCCCACGTTGGGGATGTCCTCGGGGTCATCCAGCTCCAGAGGGCAGAACAGCCCCCTCTCCAGAGCCTTCCTGAGATCATCCGGCCATGCCGACACTTCCCAGGGCTTGCGGGTGTGGTTGAGCATCCATGCCTGGTTGGTGTCCTGGGTGCGCTTGTTCGCCTCCTGCGCCTCCTGGATGGAGCCCATGGCCTCAGCCAGTGCCTGGCTGGCGTCAACGCCCTTCCCCTCCAGGTACTGGTCTCTCAGCTTGGCCTTGAATCGCTCCAGGTTGACCTTCCTGAGGGCCCGGGCTCCCTCATTGGCCACCTCCTCTGACGGCAGGGCCTGCATGCCCTCCTGGAGAGGCGGCAGGATAGCCATCTCATTGTCCAGCATCTCATCCGTGACCAGCTCCTTGTGCCGCCGCCTGGCCGAGGACTCCTCCGGGGTCGGCTCCCGGTGCTCCCTCAAGGCCTTATGCAGCTCCTCCTTCTGGGGGTGGTAGAGCTGGAAGCTCTGAGCCTCTGCCTCCTGCAGGGACCGCTGCACTTTGACCTTGACCTCCTGGCGCTCCCGGACCTTCAACGCCTCGTCGTCCGCCTCCATGGACAGGATCTCCTGCCGGATGTCCACCCGCCTGTTAAGCGGGACCACGTCTGCCATGGTGATCTCCTCTGCCGTGTCCGTTTTCGGAGGGAGCTCTTCCCAGGACCGTGCCGTCCACCAGGTTGCGGTCTGCCTGTGCCCGGGTACCACCGGGGCCAGTGGCACCCAGGCTTCCCCCATCCCGCTGCTGGATCCAGGTCGGCTTGCCCTCCACAATGAGCAGGTTGTAAGTGACGCCGTCCGCCTCGTAGGTAGCCGAGGGTGCCTGGAAGGGGACAAACTCCTTGCCCGGGCAGACCCAGCATTGATTGGCTGCCTCCGGCCACCCCGTGCCGCACGCCTTGCACATGAATTTGTAGTCTGAGTGGCCGGCATCGAGTCTGTGCATCCGCTGGGTGCCAATGCACGCCTTGTTCCTCTGGAACTGTGAGGCCCAGACCTCCTCCTGCCGGATCTGGATCTTCATCGGAACATAGGCCTCCAGGATGCGAATCACCAAGTCCTCCGTGAGGTTCTTCCCGACAAACTTGTGGAACAGGGAGACCGCCTCCTCCACCGTGACGTCCCTCAGCAACGTGGCCGCCGATGCCGGAAGGACCGGGAAGAGGTCGGGGAGGTCCACTAACTTGAAGTAGCCAGGACGGCCCTCCACCGGCACAAGGGAGACCGGTTTGTTCACCGGAGCCGAGGTCTTCTGGGAAGCCGCCACGAAACCCTTCAGCCTCTTCGTTGGTGGAGTAGCCTTCTCCGTGGCGTCCGCATCGTCCATGTCCTGGTCCTCCTCATCGGCGGGGCCAGGGGCACCCAAGCCGGAAGTCGGTGTGGAGAAAGCCACACGGAGACGCTCCAGTGCACTGGAGAGGTCGTTCATCACGTCGGTGGCCGAAGCCGACGGGGGGGCCTCGGGCTCGTCCAACACCAGGCCGGCCGCCACTGCCGCCTCGCGTGTGCGGATTTCCTGGGCCGCATTTCCACCTCCTCCGCAGTGAGCGTCTGGTCCTCAATCAGCTCGAAGGAAGTTGCCGAGGTTGCCGAGGAGGCCATTGCTGGTTCGGGGTTAGTTCGGAAGTGTTTCACCTCAAATTTTTCACACAAGTTGGGTTCAGAGAACCCAGGGCAAAGCTTGAGCCAAAATGGCATGCGCCATTGTGGTCAAGCATTGCCAACACAGTTCATGTTTCCACATGCGTTTCAACATTAACAAAAAACCCACAAGAAAAGGGGCTAGCCCTAAAATGTGCGCTTTACTTGAGGGGCACAGGCATGACCGCATGACCAGCAAAGGGGAGGCCCAGGGGCGGCTGGTTTTTATCTTCCTGTCTTCCAGTCAGATCCATGCATCCAGCATGGGGCAACCGTATACAGGCGTCCCGTCTGCCGTGCCCTTCGATTGCGATTTGATCCGACAGGTCTCTGATACGCTCTCCGCAGCCGAGCAAAAAACGGCTGTCATGCTCGTTTCAGGAACTACCACAAGTGGTGCTCATAAAAAGCACAAATGGGAGGCTGCCTACGCCCCGACCACGTGTGCGCTCTGTGGAAACGATGATACGTGCCATCATCGCGTGTTTGAATGCCCGGCTTTGCAAGAGATTTGTGAACGATATCCTTCAAAATCATCGACCGGAGTGCATTCACCTGCTCATCCGGGTGTAGCTGTCCTTAGGGTCGCTTTCTGTGGTCGTGAGCTGCCTGAAATTTCAGCTGCGCCTTACGTTCCTGCCAATAAATGGCTTTTCTTCACAGACGGATCGTGCAACCGGCCCTACCTTGCCATATGCTAGCAGGGCCTCATGGGCTGTCATCCAAGACTGCTGCGAATCTGAAACACTGCGTGAAGATTCCTTGAGAGGACCCCCTAGTGCTGATGGGGTGCCGCATGTCTCGATACAGTGATTGCCATTCTGCCATTCATGCTGTACGTCTCAAGCGCACGCACAATGGGGTGCAACTGAAATCTGCCGTGTTCTTCATATTGAGGCCATTTGGAACGAGTGGCCACCAGTGGCCTAACTTTGCATAAAGTTGAGGCACATCGATCTCTGGCTGATGCGCGCAATCTTCTGCTCTCTACCGCTTGCTACTGAGCTCCTATCTTGCGACAGGCACCCGAAATGCCAGTGCGAATTGACATAGCCCCCCCGGTGAGCATATCCCGATCCAAAAATATACCTCTCTTATGATGCCTTGGAGGCTATCTCCAAGCGCAGAGGAACAAGCGTCCCTCCGGATGACAGTGCTTCAGTTGCAGCCGGTCACTGCCCTCGCCGGTGGCCGACAGCACCACTTCTTTGCGTGTCTTGGGGTTCCTTCGTAACCGACAAGGGCTTCTCAGAAGACCGATTTTTTCAGACATGCGGCTGAGACGGTCAGTTATGTCACATCATCTCTTGCAATCTCTTGGATTTCCAGTGAAAATGAATGCTCGCATTGATATGCCCGAGATGTCACCTCTTCGGCGATGTGTACAGACAGATGTCTTCCCGAGATGTCGGCTGTAGCTCGTAAGATGCGCCAGCGACGCAAGGCCATGCTTGATAGGCTGGGTTGGTTCTCTCTCCTCGGGCTTTGGCCCTCCATTCTCTCGGGAACCTCCAAATGTGTTCGGCACGGCAAATTGGTGAAGGCCTCAAGGCTGGGGCTCGCGAGCGTCACCGCGGCCAAACAGTGCCGCAGAAACAAAAAGGGTAAACAAAAGGGGTTGCCTCAAAACACACAGACCCAAGTAATGGTGTTTTGGTTTGGTGGGTCCAGGAGGGACAAATGGGCGAAGGCACACACGGTGGCGGTGTTGGTGGTTTCAAATTGCCCCCAACATTGCAGTGGTTTGTACATATAGCCGTGTTACACCCCAGTCTACCCCACATATTCCCATATATACCCTCCATATACCCTCCATATACCCTCCACAAACCCTCCATATACCCTTTATGAAACCCATATACCGCTTGTGAATCCCTTTATATTTTGGTCCTGAGACATCCATTTGTGCTGCCGAAATGGTGGCCTTCCTTTTCGCTTCCCATTTCACCCACTGAAAATCAGCTTCCCGCTCGGTGGCTTGGAGGTGTACGAAGCGGTGTCCCATTTACCCTCCGCAAGAGGAAACAAAAATCCCCGAGCCACGAATCCCAAATGTTAAACACACCAGAAAGTCGTAGCTCACTTGCTGAGTGGATGGGAAGCAAAACAAGGTTCTAAACCTTTTTGAGAACCACTAAAATGGCAAAAACCAAAGCCACAAAGTGATTGACGCGCAGTTGGGTGTGTCTTTTTTACGGGCAACGCCCCAAAATGATGGATCTCTTTCTGGCTTTCCCTTTAGACCAACCCCAAAAGGGGTTCCCTCAAAAAACGACACGCCCAATCAATTGAGTCACAATCAACACATTTGTTTTTTGGCATTTACGGCTGCCCTCCGATTGTCTTGCTGCTCAGGGAATGAAGGATGAGCCGTCTAAACCATCCAACTGGTGGTTTCCTTTAAGGGGACCCTTGGCTTTATTCACATTTGCTTGTGACTCATTCACCCTCTTTGGAGGAAGACGGGAAGACGAGGAAGACGAGGAAGACAGGAAGACGGGGTGTCCTCAAAAGGAGGGGAGGAGCCTTTTGTATATGTTGGTGTGGGCCAAGTATGGAACGGAGTCGGAGTCAGACAATTGTCATTTGGGAGTTCCCCCACATTTGGACCAAGTATAGTGGCAACTAGATTTGGAGGGGAACACCCCCTATAAATGGGACGGGTGTCAACATGATCGTTGCTTATGGGGCTTCCTCTAGTTACCTACCGAAGATGGACGAAATCCATTTCGCGCCACGAAGTGAAACCATGGTTGAAACCCTCTTTGGAGGAAGACGTGAAGACGGGGAGGACGGGGTTTCCTCAAAGAAAAAGAGAAATTCTGATCCACCCGCTCGACCCCCGCTTGCTTCCATTTGGTTGAGACCCCTGGAAAAAAAACAGAATTTGTCCAGTAGTGAAAGTTTCCAGGAATTGCCCCACATTTAGACCAAGTATGGTGGCCATAACTAGTTATGGGGTTTCTCCTCTTGGTTACCTACCGTAGATGGACGAGCTTGGGATCCGGGTTTGTCGGGGTCTCCTCCAAACAAGAGAAAAAATGGACACCGGGGGAGCCGCCCGCTCGCTCCCGACCCCCCCCCCCCCCGCTCTCCGAACTCGACCGCCGAACGCGACCGAACGCCGAACGGCGCCTCGAGGAAGTCCGCCACCAGGCCGCTGAGGAAGTTCACCAGCAGCGCGGCCCCGCAGATCACGAAGCCCGCGGTGAAGAAGGGCGACTCCGCGCCTCGGGGCGCCAAGGGGGCGGGAGCTTTTGGCGGGAGCTGTCGCTGCTCGGCGCAGCTCCGAGCCAAGAAACTGGCCCAAATAGATATGTATACGTATATATGCATATATATATATATATATATATATATATATGTATGTATGTACTTATACATGTGCTTCCTTGACTATTCTTTAAATAGCCTCGACCATCTAAAAAACGAAAGGCTATAAAAGTAGTGTCCCTCGACCTTTAAAAGTAGGTCTAGACTCTAGACAAACTTGGCCAACTCGAGACTGCTGGCTCCTGACATCCGTGCGCGCTTCTGTGCAGTGAGAGGTTGAAGAACTTTATTGCTGCCTTTTATGAAATAAGCTAAGTATGTTTTACAGTCGCTTCATCCCGTTGTAATCACACGCCGTCACCATGCTGTGTCAATTTGGCTTGTCCCTCACATGCCCGTGCGTGCTTTTCCACTTCTTGTCCACAGCTCCACAGAGTCTAATTGCGTGTTGTTTGTTGATTGTTTAGTCGATTTTGAAAGAAAATGTGGCGTGGACAAAGCATGGACAAACCGTGGAAAGTACGTTTTTTAGCGTGGAAAGTACATTTAAAAGCGTGGAAAGTACGTTTAAAAGCGTGGACAGCCATACCCCCAGGAGCCCACAACGCATGCCTGATCGGCAGCGATGCCCCGAAGCCACTAAGTTTGCAGCATTTTACAAAAAAGCCGGACTTCAGTACTAACATGCGAAGAATCTATGCACGCCTCTACAGTAGGTGGGGCGATTTTGAAAAGTGATGCGACCATACATTTGGCAAGCCGGGGAATGAGTGCCTTGGGTGCAGTCATTTGCAGCTGGGAGGATGAGGGCGGCGTGACTTTCAGTGACCTGACCCTAAGCAATTCTTGGGCAACAAACAAAACATGTCTTTCTGGATATTCAGGGCCAGGCGCAAAAAAAAGGTCTTTCGGCAAAAAACAGTCTAGCGACCTCGACCATTATTTTAATGGTCTTTGGAAGCCTAAGGCGTACCTATATATATATATATACACTGCATATGTATATGTGATATATGTATACATGTGCGTATTTACAACTAAAATGGTTCTCAAGCCAAAAAAATGACTAAAGCCCAGGAACTCAGGAAGTGGGTATTCATAGGTCCCCTGCTCAGTTGCAACCAGTTTTGACCAGGTGATCTCCTTTTGGGTTGGGGCCACAAACAGTTGTTGCTAAAATAGGAGAACCAAAGTCGATTCGCTTGGGGCAAGTGAGCCGAGGGCGTTTTTTCTTAGGCTGGCTTCCCTAGGTTACCTCATTAGGTAACCAAGAGGAAACGCCACGAGGGGTTGCTTGGTTCCCTGCTGTAGATGGACGCAATCCATTTCACGCCACGAAGTGCAACCCTGGTTTGGTTCCGCAGCATGGAACACCGCGGCAGGCGCCGCTCCGTGTTGGCAATGAACCTGTTTTGGGGATTCCCAATAAAACTCCCTTCCTGCGTAGACGGCCACTAAAACCGTCGGAACATCTTGTTTGCCACTAAAATGTGGTCCAAACCAAAAAAACTTCAAGTCCAAAAGTCTCAGGAAGTGAGTAAAGGGCACCTTTCTCGGATTTGGAGCGCTTTCGCTCCCTCGACGCTTTCTCGAACCGAACCGAAACCGATCGAACCGCCGCGCGCTTCCTGGGTCCTCCAGATTTGAGAGCTTAGAATAAGGGTGCCCGATTTTTTTTCTGTAGTCCGTTTTAGGGGAACCCTCCCCCCAAAAAAAAAGGAGTAGAGAAGGGCACCACTTGCTGGAAAACCCTCGGCCACCGCACCAGTTTCTCGAACCGCGCGCCTCGGGGCGTGAGGACCCCGAAGCCCACCGCCAGCGCGGTCTCCACGGAGAAGTAGAAGGCCACCCACACGGAGGAAGCTCCCGGCAGCTCCTGGAAGCCTCCAAGGAAAACCGGCGGAAGCTCCGGCGGAAGGCTTCCGCCGCTGGGCGTTTTTTTTTCTTTCTCGTTTTTGGTTTGGTGTTTGTCTTTTTCGTTCGGGGGCCATCTCCGCAAAGGGCCGGGCAGTGACCCTTTCTTTTAGCAGGAAGACGGAGGAGGCTTCCGGAAGGACTCCAACTGGTGGGCGTAAAGGGCCAGTGGCCGTGGCCCGTTTTAGAGGAAGACGGGGATTCCTTGAAAGGAATCCCCTTCCGGTTCATTCCCAAACCCCAGTGGCCAGATTTGGAACAGACATGGCGGAAGAAGGGCCCAAAGGGAAAAAAAAAAAACGTCCAACGGGTGGGTGTCTTTTCAGGGAATCCCAAAACTGCCAGGAAACCAAACCCTAAACCAAACCCCATAGGTTTCCATCTTCCTCCAAACATCCCTTAGGTTCATTCCCAAACCTTTCATGGGCCCCCTTCTTTTGGAGGAAGACGGGGAAGAATGGGTGGACCTTGAGGTTTGGCCGGCTTTGGGGCTCGCGTGCGATCGGCTTGATAGGCAGGGAATGAGAAAGTGGAATGACAAAAAACGAAAAACCGTCCAACTGGCGCTTTCCTGGCCCCCAAATCGGTTCATTCCCAAACCCCGGAAGGTCATTCCCTACTGAGAACCAAGAAGCAAAGGGACATGCCGCGCTTCCATCCAAAGAAGCGGCCCCCAAAATAGGAAACGAGGGAATTCCCCAAGTCTGGACAGGTTCCTGGGGCAAATTGGCCTGGATGGTTACATGGACGTCCTTGTTTGGTCTGGTGAATTGATCTGGATGGTCCTGCAAAACTTACTATAACTATGAATCCCTTGTTGGTCTGGTCTGAATTAAGTCATCTTTTGGTGTGCAAATGTTACTATTCCAAAAGAAAGGATCCCTTGTCACGGGCTCGTTATACCCCCGAATCACTAAGCTCGCTATAAAATAGGCAGAATCGGATTTCCCTGGTTCCTGGTGTGTACAATTGGTCTGGATCATGGGAAGCCCTGCGGGCTTTCCCAAGGAAGCTCCTAAAATCTGAACATTAACCAAACAGTCTATGGGTGAATTAGATCCCCCGGAAGCTGAACTGGACGCTTGGCTGGGAGCCGCCAGTTGATGGAAGGATCCCCCCGGCTCCGGGCCGGTGTAGCTGTAGTAGGCGGTGCCGATCACCAGATATAGCGCCACCGCCGCCAGCAGTCGGCGCTGGCCCCCCGTGAGGCCCAGCACCTCAAAAAAAGAAACGAAAAAACAAACCGGAGGAAGGTTTGGGGAGTGTAGCAACTTCATCCTCGGCGAAATTTGGTGTTTTCTGGCTTGTTATTATTGTGTTGTTTGCTCTCTTTTTTGGCGTTGTTTGCCTTTTTGGTTTGGGGGGGAGTAATTATCTTGTTTGTTTGTTTGTTTGCTTGTTTGTTTGTTTGTTTGTTTGTTTGTTTGTTTGTTTGTTTGTTTGTTTGTTTGTTTCTTTGTTTCTTTGTTTCTTTGTTTCTTTGCTTCTTTGTGTTGTGATCTCTCTCTTTTTCTTTTTTCCCCAACAGCTGAAAGCTTTGGGGTCTCAGCCCAGCTAGGCTCTGGGGTGGTCCGGGGCGGTTCTGAGGTAAGGTTCCACGAGGGTTCCACCATTGTTCCACGAGGGTTCCACGAGGTTCTGCGAGGGCTGCGGGGTGGTCACCTGAGCTTATTTTTTTGGATGGGGGAGGGAGGGTGGGGGGGGGTATGTTCTTGTTCTTTTGTTTTTTGTTGTGCTTCTGTTCTTTTTGTTGGGCGGGGGGGGGCAGTGACTTGGGCCTCGTTGGGGGAACCAGTCTTATTTGGCCTCGTGTGCAACCCAGAGAGCCCTTGGGGGCTTGAGCGGACGCTGATGATATTCGGAACACTTGCCAAAAAGGAGGCCCGTCATTGTCCAAAGATTACCATGCTCTTCTGAACGGATGAGGAAATGCACCCCCGGACTCGAGTTTTATGGGCCCCTTTCCGGACATTTGAGTGAGTCCCCCATGTCAAATTGACGAATTCCGACTATAAAAAATATTTTGACAGACGTAGTTGAAAAGGTGTACAAAGCCATAATTTCTTGAAACCGGAAATCTTCAGTGGCCTTGGAAAAAAAAGCGCTCCTGTGAGGTAGTCGATTCAATGGGCAACCTCCCAAAAATGAAAACAAGGGTACCAGCTGCTTGCAGCTCAGAAAGCTCGAGGCTTGCCCCTAAGCAGTGCGCTCGGACACAACGCAAACACGAAAAGACAAACAGCGCCAATGCAACCAACCCAACCAACCAACCAACCAAACACACAAACAAACACACAAAAAATGCTTGCACCTTTCGGGAGTTCTGTCTTCACGACAACCCCGACAATCCGAAGCCCGAACCCCAAGGGCCGCGTTTGAATGCCTTGGACCCCCCCCACCCCACAAAGAAAACATCCCCACCCCACCCACCCACCCCACTTACACCCCAATGCCTCCCCCCATTAAAAAAAAATGCCCCCCCCCCCCCCGGCCCACCCCAACAGAAGAATGCCCCCAGCCCCCCTCAAAAAAAAGACCACTAAAGAAGAATCTCCGCCCCACCGCGGCTCCGCCACCCGCAACCCGCTTCCGTTTTCGGCCGGGGCGCTTGCTCCCAAAAAGAAGCCTCGGCGAGCTTCTGGCCTTGCCTCCGACACATCTCGCAAGCAGGTGGGTGTGGCATTTGTGTTTGTTCCGCCCTTTTTTTTTGCGGGGACCATCCAACCATTCTGGTGCCTGGTCTTTTACATATACCCCTTCTAGAGGGAGTGCAAGACAACAAACCGGCTAGTTTTCTTTGTGTCGGGTGTTTGCATTGGTGGTTTGGGGATTGGAACCCTTGGTTCTTGTAGAGGGTAGACGGGAAGCCACCCCTTCACCACCACTAATCCAAACTACCAATTTCGAGGGAAGCTAAATGGGTTTGTGGAAGGAGCGGTGTACCCTGGCCCAGGGAATCAATCTACCTCAGCACCCTGAACTTTGGCTACAGAATATACTACATGGGCATGGGTCAAAAATAGGTACCCAAAATAGAAGCCTGGTAAATGGAAGCATAGGCTAAACCCCGCGTTTTTGTTATATATTTTTCTCTGGTGGCTGAGTTTTGACCCATACCCAGGCCGCGGGTGGCTTCCCCTGACCTTGGCTCATGGTTGCGAGACATTTGGGCCTCGGGAACTCGATCTGCCTTGCAGCCGGTCCACATCTGCCATTCTGACCATTCCCCGCAGGTAGACGTAATCCCGAGGTTCCCTTTTTCGAGAAATCGACCCCTGGCAAGAAATGAAAAAAATCAGATACCTCCGGAGCATGACATACATCTAGGTTCGGCAGATTTCACCGTCTGTTGTAGTCCTCCAGGTTGACCACTTGGTGGCTGGCCTGAAAAGTTTAGGCGGTCCAAGCGTCGTTTGATGTGTTGCTCTTGTTGGGTCAGCCGACACAACATATTCAGCCATGTAGATGAAATCTCTGGTCTGGATACCGCATCCAAAGGGTACCGCATGTTGCCCAACGACGGACCCAATTCGGAGTTGCCATGTCCATTGGTGCACCCATGAAAGGGGGAAGAGGGGTTCACGGAGTCACTGAACAGCTCGGCAGGTGGGTGCTTCTCAAAAACCGGCTGGCTGCATTTGGGTTGCAGCCTGGGAACAACTATTTTGAGAACCCCCCAAAAAGTTCCCCCCCCTTTTGCTGGCTGCTCTTCAAAAACCAGTGGTCCCCTGCCCCCCCACCCCACCCTACACCCCACCCCCCACCCCCGCTCGCCTCACAGCGCGGCTGGCGGGGCGGAAGGCCGCGGAGCGCAGCAGCAGCTCCCGCAGCGGCCCAAAGGTCCGCTCGAAGTCCCCCCGCGAGAGCCACAGCAGCAGCGCCGCCTCCGGAGCGACGCAAAGGCGAGCGACGGCGCTTCGTGGCGGCGACGCTTGTTTGTTGGGCCTGGACCACAAAACACCCGGGTGGAGGTGTTAAGGGGAAAGATGGGAAGTGGTACTCTTATGTCGGTTGGTGGAAGACTTAAGGGAAGAAAAACGAGTTGGTGATAATAATTTGGTGGTGGCAAACTTGAGGGGCCATTGACCAGAAAAGTTATCTGGTAGGCAAGCAAGGGAAACCATCATTAACAAACCGACGTGTAGCCTATCAAACTACGACATCTTTCTGGACCAGACCCCCAACACTCGTTCACAACCCCGTACCGCCCGAGGCCCCCCCGCCCTTGGTTGTCGTTGGAAGGGGAGCAAAAAATTAAATTTTAGCAGTTAAGTGGGGAATTCCCACTAAGCCACAACAAGCAAAAATTGGGAAAATGTTTCCCAACAACAAACATGCGCCCCTACCTCCCCAGCCCCCAAGCCTCCATTCCCCAGCCGCCTCTTCGGAGCCGCGCAAGGAGGCGCGCCTGGGCGCGCGGGTGAGCAGCGCCAGCTCGCCGAAGTACTCTCCGGCGCGGTACACCTTCACCAGCTCCTCGCCCTCCTGGCGCGCCCTTCGCGTCACCGCGTCACCGCGCAACCGTACACCCGGCAGATTTGTTTGCATTGCGTCTCCTTGTTGGTAGAAAATAGATGGCGATTCCTGGGTTGGCGGCCAAAACAAAGTGGACAAAAAGAGCGGTTACGTCTTTGTTGCTTTTTTCTCCGGCCTCAGAAAATGAGTCAAGCCAAAAAACAACCTCGAATCAGAGCCAAGGAGGCCCCATAGCTTCAGACACGCCCCTTCAAAACCTTCCATTTCCACGATCCCAGGTACCCCCAAAGTAGGCAACAAACCATTGTCCTCTGGTGTGTAATGAAAGGGGGTCAACCTTACCGACCTACTATACAGGGAAATAGTGAGTGGGGTTGCTTCAGGTTTTTGTTTGTATGTGTCCCTGGGAATCTATCACTAGACAAACATTGTCTCATCCTTTGCGGGGGGCGTATCCGCAAATGGAGGACACGAGCAATTTGGTTGAGCATTGCAGAAAATCGAGGGACAAGCTCTAATTTTAGGGAAGCTGATAATTGGAGCGAAGCCTTTCATAGTGTTTTTACAGGAAACCAAAAGGAACCTCGTCATTTTTTGGAATCCCTATTTTGACACGTGAGTAGCGCCCAACCCCACCCCCCACCCCGCAAACAAATGGCAATGTTAGTAGGTAGTTCTACCACCTAATTGGGGTCATAGTTTGGGCCTCTACAAGCCTTTACAGCTAATTGGTAAAAGTCCATAGGTGTCCTTTTGGGAAAACATACGGCCCTGGTTCTCTGAAAAAACCAGGTCAAGCAGGAAGTATGACGTCCACGAACTCAGGAAGTCAGGAGTAAGTTGAGGGTAGTTTCCCATTTATCCAGGGCTTCAAAATCCACAAGCCACCAATCAAAACCGCCAAACAGGGATCCACTAGAATCGGTGTGGGTGCCCTCTTGGTTTCCCTACCGCAACGGACAGTCATGCTTGCTTCGGACTAATCCGACAAAAACGCATGCTGATCAGAGGGGTTCCCCTTCTAAAAACAAAACTAGTTTAGGGAGGTCCTTTGACTTGTCAGGTCTCAAACGAAACACATGCAGTGCGTGGACGAAACCCACTTCGCACTAGTTGATCGCTGTCTTTGACCGGTATTCATAGTTCCACCCATCCCAACTGGTGCAGGATTTTGTCCACCTGCTGATAGCAACGGCCAACATGTTCGAGGCGATGCCCTGCTCGGGGGGAGGGGGATTGTCAGTCAAAGGTTGCGATAAGCAAATGTTGTTTTTGTTTTTGTGTTTTTTTTTCTGCACCATCAAGAAACCAATCATACCGTGTATGGACGAACGGCAAACATGTGATCCTCAAAAACGCTTATTATACATATATATATATATATACACAATAGGGATCCCTCGAGTCCTGTTGTGTCCCTGCCAAATTGCACATGGGTTTGTCTCAAAAGTACTGAAGCAACAAAAGGGCACCAAAATGACACACCCAGGAAGCAAGGTGAGAAAGCACACGTTTGCCCTCTTTCCTTGGCTAGGTCCTCCAGTAGAGAGGTTAGAAGAAGGGTTCCCTTTTTTCTGTAGTCTAATTTAGTAGGACCCTTCCCCAACAAAGTTGGTAAAAGGGCACTACTGGGGGACCTAGGGCTTGGTTGAGGTCATCTTTCCAAATTGGTTCATCAGTTTCTTGGAAGAAGCCGTTAGGGAACCCTGCGACTCCAATGGCAAAAGGTAAGTGGTTGTTCGTCTTGAAAACCTAGTTGGTGGTTTTGGGGTGCCGTTTTGTCCAAGAGCTGACACCAGCCGCGATCGACACAGATCCGAGATCGGATCAGCTTCCTCGCTCGCGACGTAGGCCTCGACCTCACCATCCGCGACGATGAAGAACTTGTCCCCGGCCTGGCTCCAAGTGAACGCGTAGCTGGTCACGTCCTTTTTGTAGGTGTTTTTAGGTTGGTTGTTTGGGTTTTGCTCATTGTTTTTAGGTTGGTTGCTTGCCTAGATAGCCAAGTTGCAATCGCTGTTTTCAGTCACTGTTCCTGGTTTTTGGATGGCAAAGTGGATGGACAAAAAACAAAAAAACAACAACTGGCGATCCAGCTGCACCTTTTTCGAGGCGACGTCAGGCTTAAAAGTCAGGGTGGAAAAAGAAAGGAAACCAAGAAGGAAACTAAGCATTTTGTTGGGTACACTAATCCGCCTAGAAAGCGTATGTGAAACTAGACACATAGGAATTGGTTGGATGGATTATTGATGGTTTCGCCCACCTAGAAACAGTGCTCTCAAAAACACACCACCACATGGGCATGAAGTTCAGGGGCCCCGGACCCATCCCTATAGCCATGTGTACATTCCCCTTTTGTGGGCAAACGAGATAAACCAAACTGGGGGGAATTGTGCCAAGCTGTGCGACACATGTGTGTGTGTGTTGTGCGCGATCTTTGAGGGTACCATTTGTGTCGTTTGATTTGTTTGTAGGGAAAGCTAAAGTCCAAAAGGAGATGGCATTTCCCACATACCTAAGTATGCATACACTACATGCAGTACAATATCCACGTGAAACCAAATAGTCACATCCTTTGTAGATGTTGCAGCTTCATCAAGACCTTCAAGCATTCACCGATTCACCTGTCATCAAAAGCTTCGTGTCCTGGTGGCTGCTATCGTTTCCTTCAAAGATGCATCTGAAGAGCCTGTCAAGCCTGGTGCTTGAGCGGAACTCATTGCAAGTCGAAAATGCCTTCCGGCTCCCTCAAGCACTTCGCCAGCTCAGACCGCAAAAGGCATAACAAAAAAAATGGCACACCCCCGACTTGAGAGCCCAAGAACCCGGGCACGAACAAACAGCCCACCCCCCCACCCCAAAACAACACACACGCAACCAAGAACAGCCAACCCTTCCCCCCCCCCCAGGATCCCCCCCCCCAAAAAAAAACAACACGATCCCCCAAAACCGATTCCACGATTCCCCCAATCAACCCCCACCCCCCCCTCGAAACAAAAAAGCAGCTAAAGCCACACCGGTCCACCAACGCGTCGCGGCAGACTCGAGCGGTCGCCTCGCCCTGGCGGAAGAGCGTGGCGCCCGGTGCCAGCTCCTAGCGTTTCGGATGGGACCAAAGAGCCGAGGCGTCCCAAAGACCGCCTCAGTTGGCAGCGGATCCCCTGGGTTTTCCATACCAGGGAGCGCGTGTTTTTTCTCCGGAATTTTACAATGGTGGGTTGCTAAGAAAGAAGTGTTTCTTTGGTTTGTGGGAAATCAAGTGTCCCTTTAAAATGGTTTGAAAATGGTGGAGTTGGTGGTTGCCTACGATTCTAGCCGTCTCCTCCATTCTCTTCAGGGGCCAGCCCCCAAGGGCAAAATGGGCTTGTGAGAACCAGCGAAGAGAACGGGGACAATCCGTAGAAACCAGGTGCGTCTCTTGGATTGGCGAGCAAAGGTCATCTTGGGGCAAAAGGTGATCTTCAATCCAACCAAGGGAGCCTCTCCTTTTGGTTTCCCTTTAGAACCACAAAAGCAAAGAGAAAAGGGTACCAACTCCAACTCTCCAACAAAGACAGACCCATATTGAACCCCTAAACAGGGACCAAAAAAAAACACAAATGCAAGCCTCAAAGTTGGGCCCCAGTTGACCAAAACCCCTCAGAGCGCCAGACAGACCCATGAAATTGATTGGAAACCACCAGCAGAAGCCCTCAATGCTCAAAGCCTGGAAGAGGGATCCGGATGCATGAGCACCTGGACATTGCCTGCCTTGGCACCTTGTAAATGGTGGCTTGTCCAACTTTATTTTGTGGAAAAAGCCACATGCTTCAAATGGAAAGGCAAGATGGCCATCTTTTAAGGAGCCCTGTTGAAGAGGGGTCCATTTCCTGGCGCCAAGTCAATTCTCATTTCCCGAGTGCATTGGACGAGGTTTGGCCCCACGTTTAATGGCCTTCCCCAACCCCAAAAGTGACCTTTCGTCCGAAACGGAACTCAGCCAGTCAGCCGAGGGTACCCCATTTGGTGGGTTGAAACGGCAAAACATCGCCAAAACAAAAACCGCTGCGCGCCTTCTTTTGGGGGGGACTGGAGCTAGGCCCTCCAGTAGAGAGGTTAGAATAAGGGTACCAACTTTTTTCCACTGTCTAGTTTAGTAGGAAAAAACCCTCCCCAAAAAAGGAACGGTAAAAGTTGGCACCTAGCTGGGGGACCTCGCGGGAGGCTCGCGGGAGACTTCGGGTGCTGCCCCGCAGCTCGCGGGACCCCCGGCTCGCGGCTCTCGCGGCTCGCTCCTGCAGCATCATGAGGTTGGCTGCCTCCCGGCGCTGCTCCGGCGAAAGGTCCTGGAAGAACTTGGCGTTCTTCAGCAGCCTCCAGTCAGACGGGTCAGATCCCCGCCAAAAAACACACCGCCAAAACTGGGTTGTCCTCAGATCCCATGCTAAAATGACGAGCTTGTCGGTGAAATGGAAACCCAACCACTAAACCAAGTAAAAACCTTGAAAAAATGAGAGGAACCACTTAAAACCATCACCAACCCTGCTCAAAGTGACAGCTCCTATGCCTTTTGCCCAGCGGTCGAAAGCTATGGGGTCGATCGGCCCAAAGAACTGGCGTGACTAGGAACAGCTTTCAGGGAGGCTTCCAGTGATTCGTTTGCAATTTCCGAGGGCTGGGAACAGCACTTGGGCTTATATACATAAATTATCTTACTTGTGATTTGTTTCTTTGGGGGGATTGATTCAGGGTTGCTCCGGGGTTGGCTTTGGGCGCAGAATTCCCTTCATGCCGCTTTCCTTCCGAGCCGGTTGCCGCTGAAAAGGTGGAAATGGCTGGGGATCCTTTGCATGTGCTCGGGCAGCGGTAAGCCCCGCCTGAGCGCATAGGGCTTCCAGAGGGTCTGGTTCAAGCAGATCTCCTGAGTTGCACGTCTGGCATCGAAATTTAGGAGACGAACTGGGCAGAAACACAACTTCTGGGAAAAATGCGAAAATATGTTCAGTAGCGATCGATTCCTTTCAAAACCAACAGGGGAATTTATTTATATGTTTTAAGAAAAACTCATATTTTTAAACAAAGGGAAGACAGGAAAGCAGGGAAAAAACAGTGGGTAGTACCAGGGCGAAGAGACTCCGAACCTGATTCGTTCATTGCCTGCACTGAGAGGCTATCTCCAACCCATCTTGCATCTTGGGAGTACCCTTGACCGGCACATAAACTTGGCACTCCCTTGGGCGGGTGGAAAGTTAAATGAATGATGACTCTGTCGCTTGAGCGGCAAATGGGGAGGGAGACTGGCACATGCAGGCTTGACACTCCCTTTGGGTCTGTTGCTTCAGCAGGGCCATGGGTGAGCTCTGAAAAGCTGGCACATGGGGAGCTTCCCAAAAGGATTCAGGATTCAGCTTTTAATTGGGACACCCCCACGTCAGGTCCAGGAACCGCATGTTCTTTTGACCATCTTGTCGATCCACCAGTAAGCCCTCTGTGAGTCATAGCCAAGGCTTCGTTGACATGACAGACGACATGTTTGCCGTGGTGTTAGCTAAAGGCTACCCAAGGGAGGCCGCCTGAATTGAGGCGTTTCCTCCAAAAGTGATGAATCCGAAGCAAACATGGACAAGCCCCTATTTTTCAACACTCCGCCGTCACAATCAAGAAGGGTCATTCATCCGGCGACCAACAAGCGAGTGCCCCATCAAGGCTACAGACACACTCCAACAGGCCAAACCAACAAAAAATGAACCCCCCTCTCTCACTCTTTCTCTCTCTCTCTCTCTCTCTCTCTCTCTCTCTCTCTCTTCGCCATACACACCTTAACACAAGGGCCGGAGAGACTAAATTGCACACGTCGAGCATACCTGCATGTGGCCAAGCGCTCACAAACCCGGGCTGTCCTCAGGAAGTTGTTTGCCAAAAGTTCTTGACTTTCCACGGGTTCGATGGACACCCCACCACCTAAACGAAAAGAACGTCCAAAACCCGCTCAGGCGCGCGTCAAAATCCGCACGCCTGCGCGATGCGCGGCTTGGCCGGCGCCGCCGCCTCCAGCCGCCCGGCCCCGGCCCCGGCGCCGCTTCGCGGCGCGCGCGGCGCGGGGCCCAGGAAGGCCGGCGAGAGGGACAGCAGCAGGGCGCCCAAAGCGCAACGGCGCCTGGGGCGCGGGGGGCAGGGCGCTTGCCACGTCCGATGTTTCGAGTCTTGGTTGATGTTGGAAGGGGAGCAAACGTTTATTTTTTAGCAGTTAAGTGGTTGGATTTCAATCACTAAACGACAATAAGCAAAAATGTAAAATGTTGGTAAAATGTTTCGCAACAATACAACCATGGAGTGGAGGGGCCAAAAGATGCGACCAGACTTTCCTTTAAAAAAAGGTCTGCCTGGTAGATTGGCCCAAAAACTTGTTGAGCCAAACTGGTTGTGCAAGCCACGAAAATGGTGCAAACCCGAAAAGTTGGGTAGTCCAGGAACTTTGGGAGTGAGGCGGGTCTCAAAACAGGAGAGGATGAACTCCTGTTGGTTTCCCTGCGGTTTAAAGGGTTGACTAAACCTCGCACCATCGGAGTCGACCTGGCTTCCAAAAACCCGATCCAAGAATCATGGAAGTGGACAATCCGTGAGAAGCCCCCAACATAAAGAGGCTTTCAACCCCCTTGCAACAAAAACACACACACAAAAAAAACAAAAGGCGTCCGCTTCCAGTGCCGGCAGGAACTGGGGTTCAAACCCTCATACCAACAATTCAAACCACCAATTCAGTGCTGACGTAACTTGGTCTTAAGATGCCCCACAACCCCAATGCTGCAAAAGTCGACCTGGTGGTTGTCTTTTGAAATGCCAGCGGAGTACGGGTCTCCTGACCGCCATTTGAACACCTGGCCCTCTAGCCTGGACCGCGCCTCATCTCATCGGCCGCTTCTCGACTCGGGGCCCCGCAGGCCGCGTCGCCCAGCCATGGCTGAGCGAATCAAGGGTGCAAGTGCTTCATGTGCTGCTCGCTGGCCGGCGCTGCGTGTTTCCTCACTTCATTTCTGTTCGACCTTGAAGCTCCCCAGCATCCGGGTGCGAGGGCAAGGTGGGTGTTTGTCACACAGACTTGGCCTCTGCTGTACCTTGGGTGACCCTGTGATCAATCAATGTACTACACAGAGTTGGCAATGCAGTGCAGTGCATGTTGGAGCCCTTCTGATAGAACCTCCGAAAAATACAGATCTTGCCGCCAAGTTCGGATGTTCCACGCTCTTCCAGTGACACCTGAACTCAAAAAAAATCACTCGTCTCCCGCTGGATTTGGAGATGCAAACCCCTCGCGTGGCAAACATCTCAGCCATCAGCTCGAGCCGAAGCTGCGGTTGGTGATGCTCTTGAGCAACCCCAGAGGAGGCTCACCGCCAACACGTGACATATCTCAATCCACCAATTCAAGGGAGCATATGGGCATTTAGTACAACGTCTATTTTTTGGGGGGGAGCAGCTTTCCGGGGACGTCAAGAAAGACAGACCCGAAGAGGAAACCCTGGAAGGCCAAGAAAGCTCCTGTCAAACCAGAAATCCCTTGGAGGAGCGAAAGCTTTGGCAATGCGGCGCACGGAATGACGGCTCGGGGAACGTGAGACCAACCACCTCTAAGGTCCAGGGTGACTACTTCAAGCAACATTTAGGAGCAACCAGCTGGCGAATTCCAACTGATTCGCTCGCCTGAAATAACAGATCACAAAAGGAACCCTTGGCGCCTCATGCGACCAAAGGGCACTTTGTTGGAGCTTATGCTTCCCAAAAGCCCAACCTGCATTATGCATTGATTCTTCGCAGGGAAACCAAAAGGAAAGCCAACATCTTGCAAAGTCCCTAATTTCAGCAAAAATAGATCTTGTGGTTTCCATTTAAAAAATAAAAATAAAATAAACAAATCACCCCTCCGCATAATTCCATGAGGCAAATTCCCAGACCGGATGCAAGCTCCAAAATGTTGCCTGCGACGGAGGGATGCCGCAAGATGTCCACCTCAGCGAGCCCATGATCTGTCCATGCGCAGTTCAGCACAAAAATGTTTGAGGGGAACAGGCTTCCCTTTATTTCCCCCATAACATGACCCCAAAGGAAGTCTCTGTTCCTTGCAATTGGGATTTCAAGCGATGATGCTAGCAAGATGGGAAATACGGGGATCTTGAAGAAACGCCAGTTGATACTTTGACAACCCGAGAAGCGATTTAACAGTGGCAGTCGCAGCAACGAACCCTCAGGACATGCATACATGGCGGGGATGTCCCACGTCGCCTCATCCCTGGGAGATACATAGGTTTTATTAACCTTGTGGGGCCTCCTTAAATCATCCCAGTGCTCCCCAAGGAGGCTGGATCTGGAGTAAGGTTGTGGAAACCAAAAGGAACCCACCGATTTTGGGGTCCATTGCTATTCCTGGCGGTGTGTTGGGCAAGTGAAAATCCCTGCGCTAAGTGGGACCTGCGCTGTGACTCAGATTGTAACATCCCAAGAGAGAAAACTGGCAGGCCAAGAAAGCACGCCGCTGTGAGATGCTCGACCCAGCCGTGTCAGTCAAGAAATCTGCTGACCCCTTGCAGGAGTTCACCATACGTGCGTTCAATGCGCAAGCGATGTGCAAAATGGGCATGTCGTCTTCATGGTGATGTGCAAAACACGCCTTTTCAACTCCATGCCAATCGAAGCCTGATCCCGTTTCTTGAACAGAACAAGTATTCCCAACGTGTCTCAACCAGCGAAGCATTGAACTCCGCGGAGTAGTCCGCATGCGCTGGCCGCGTCACATTTTTTTTCAAAACCCTGGACGGAGTGCTGTCACGAACTGCTGGACGTCAGGGTCATGGAATCCCCTCTAAATTGAAGGCTAGGTCCTCCAGTAGAGAGGTTAGAACAAGAGTACCATTTTTTCTGTAGTCTATTTTAGTAGGGGAACCCTCCCCCCAAAAAGGGTAAAAGGGCACTACCGGGGGACCTAGAATTGAAGCTAATAGTGGGAACTAAACAACGTTTTGGTATCGCAGAAAGGCCCTTGTTTGCAACAATCCACCAGAAAAAGCGACGCGTTGAGCCGGTGCTTGTTGCAAACCCCTTGAAATAAAAGTCAAACTTTCTGCTTTGGTTTGCTCACTTCCGATTCGGTGCACTCGCCAAAAGTAACCAAACTTCTTGTCACTAAAATGCTCTTCCAAACAAGCGGCTAATGTCCACGAATTTAGGGAGTGAGTTTATACTCCCCAAAGTAGAACAGCTGGTTTTGGGCGCAACCAGAATGCTAGAACATGCGTCAAACTATGCCCCTGGGCGTGGGGTGTTGCGTTCTCAAGCGTCTCCCAAGGCCGCTGACCGAAAGCCTGAGCGATTAGCTTGGCACCTCTAAAGACCCTCGCATACACGTTTGTACATGCCTGTATAAACAGAAATACACACACCGTGAAACATCCAAACATGCTTCCATTTACTTAAGTCCCTTGGAACAATGAGAAAATATGTCCAGTAGTGCTAGGCTTCCTTTAAAACCAACAGGGGGAAACAAAGCATCTTCTGAAACGCAAATGGAATCATGGGGAATCAAATGATTTGGGCCAAAGATTGTGCTGAAAGCCAGGCTGCTTCCCCCGAAAAACACGGAACGGAACCACTAGGTCGACTTTTACTGCGTTGGGGTCGTGGCGCATTTCAAAACCCAACTAAGTAATGACCATAGAAGACCCATGTGTGAAATGTGTTTGCCGCCCTGGATGGACCAAATCCATTTCGCACAGTTCAGAAACCCTCGAATGATCTGACTCCCCAAATACCAACAATGGCTTCAACCATGGTCTCATTTCGTGGTGCGAATTGCCTGGGCCACTGGGTGAGTACCTTTCTAGGTGTGTCTTAAAAAGGGGAAACACCTACAAAGTGTCGATTCTCCCTGTTGGTTTCCCGTCAAAGTGGTGGCGTGAATTGGTTTGGAGGTGTCAGAGGGCAGCTTCCCTTCTACCCTCGACAAGAAAGGGTTCAAACTTCCATCCGAACCAACTCAAATTATCGCTTCAATGTCGAAAAGGGCCACTGAAAAAGCATCCTCGCGTCTTTGCAAGGGCGGTTCCGCCCACACATTTGGGGTACCTTTCTCTTGCTCTCCCTTGAAACACCCAGAGCCCAGGGTTGGGGACCTCCAAAAACGGAGAAGAAAAAAAGGAAAAAAAACGGGGACCTCCCAAAACGGAAAAAAGGGACCTCCCAAAACGGAGCTCAATAAAAAAGGGGGGGGAAAAAACAGGGACCTCCCAAAACGGAGAAAAAAAAACAAGAAAAAAGAAGAACAAAAAAGAGGGACCTCCCAAAACGGAGAAAAGGAGAAGAAAGAAGAACGGGGGAGAAAAAACGGGGACCTCCCAAAACGGAGAAAAGGAGCAAACAAAACTAGACAAAAAAAGCAAAAAACGGGGACCTCCCAAAACGGGGGGGGGGGGGGGGGGGGAAGGAAAAACAACTAAAAAAAAACAAACAAAAAAACAAAGAAAACACCGCCGCCCAACCCCGCCGGGATCTTCTGGGCCCTCGCGCCAGCTGATCTCCCAGGTCAGTGGGCACTCCCAGCAGCGAGGAACCCGTGTCCTGCCACGTCCCCAAAAAACCGAAGGGCCGAAGGGCCGAGGGACCGAGGAGCGGTGGAGGCGTTGCACCCAGAGCCCAGCGGCCTTCAGCCGAAGAAAAAAAGAAGGGCGGCCCTGTCCAACGTCCGTTTTTTTGTCTTCTTCTTTTTCAACATGAATATATAGTTTAAAAAAGCAGGCCTGCAAAACAAGAATGAATCGGATTTGTGTTTTGGTTCGGCTCACTAGAAAACGGCAAATGTTTGGGGTTGAATCAAACAATTTGATAGGCCCACCAAACAAAAAGGAAGAAGGTTGTCACTGAAAGCTCGGGCTGAGGATCCTAGGAAAAAACTTTAGGGCCACCCAACTTCCAAAGGTTCTTAGAGTCCCGCTTCTAAGAAGGGATCTGGGAATCTTTCTAGGGGGTAGCTGTGGATTGTTGCGAGATCCATTTGGCAGCAGCGCCCTATGAACAATGGGACAAACCATCCATCAACTGGTGTTGGATTCTGTCCATCCAAAGTATCACAGTATGGCAGTCCAGGCCCCCCCGGATAGCCGGTTGCCATTTTCAGGTGGTCCTTTCTTTCCTGACAACAGGATTGCATGGTGTGTCTTTTTTGAGGGTACAGTGCCCTGTTTGGGTGTTCAAACCCGAAGGAAACCAACCGCCAGAAGAAGGTCCCCCAATTCGAGACGTTGCTTAATATGGATTCCAAACCAGCTCACTTGCACACCATTGGCCGCGTCTCAAAATGGGTGTGTCGTTTTTTGGTGCCCTTTTCACCCCGCAGCCCCCCGTCCACCACAGCTCGGCAGCCCTCAGCGCAAAAGTCCAGGGCTTGGCCATTCGCCTGGCGGATGGAAAAAAAAATATATCGGTTCCGCCTCGGGGGCTTTCTGCTCCCCTGGCTTTCGCCTGTTCGAATTCCTGGGGCCCCAAAATGCAATCCGTAATCCGCGAATCATTGGGGATTAGGCTTTGAACAAGCTCCCCTAAGAGTTGTTTCACTTCTTTCGTGGTTTCATACGGAAAACCCATGAGTTGGCAAAAGGTGAGAGTCCTAACATCCCTTGGCAGAACGCACCAAAGTTTCTCTCACAGCGCCCCCACAGCGCCTGCCCAAAGAGTTACAGCACCACTGTTGGCAAATCCGCATCTCACCCAAATCCGAGTTCGGAGACTCCGATCTCGGAAAGTCCGATCTGTTTCATTTGGTCTCCAGCAGGTGCCGGAGGTTCCCAGTGAGTGGATGCAGAGGAATTGGCACAGCGAGACGTCCAGGCCCAGATGGGCTTGTCTGAAAATTAGGGGACCCGAAAAATGTTGGCTTCCTCTCGGGTTCTTTCAAAACCAACGAAAAACGCGGTGTCACCTCAAAAAAGGCACGCCCAAACTGCACAAAACACAAACTGAGCCCGCGGAACCGCGTTCAAGAGCGCTAAGCCGGCACCCTCCGTATGCTTAAAGAACGCCCAAAACACACCGAGCCTGCGGGGTCCGCTTTGTCGCTCCCCCAATTGTGTCCTGAACTCTGCGTCTTTAGCGTCAGAGCTCCAAGCGCGAACTCGGCCTTGATTCCGAAGACTTCCAGCTGCCAATAGCCTTCCTGGCGGGGATCGGCGAATGCCAGGCATCCGCATCCCAAGGCAAATGCCAACCAAGGTAAACCGGCAAAAGCCGCGCCCAAGTTGAGGAAGGGCCAACTCGAAGGGATTGTATCACCTCATATTGGCCAGAACCTCCCTGCTCCTTTTAGGGAGACGGGCTCTTTATCTTAGATTCCCTCATTAAGTGTCTGCGGGCTTGGCATACTATCAATTTGAACCTCGGGGCCTCGTTGTCTGTAGGTGTCACTTCGGAGATGCATACAGATCGCAGGGAGGATCTTAGAATTGTTGGAAACAACTGGATTCTTCCATTGAACCCGCAACAGGAAAGACGTGTTGCTAACCCAACTTTAAAGTGAGCCTGCATCCTGACATGTTCACATATCCTCACCTTCCCATGCCCTAATTTTTCCCACCGCTCGCGTGAAGCCTTTCTTGTTTTCAAGAACTGCGTGGCCTTTCAAGCGAAGACCATTGCGGAATCGGCTTTGAGATGGTTCCCTTGTGGTTTTGCAGGTTTTGTGGTTTTGCCGGTTTTGTCTTGTGAGTCCCCCATCGGTTTCTTGCAGTACTTCATGCTGTCGGACCTTCATAGAGCAACGGACACCAATGCCATCGGCTTTGCCTATCGGTTTGGCATGCTGATGGGTGAAACCAGGGTCCTGGAAAATCCGGAGTTCCCAATAGAGACTCAGTTTCTTGAGTGGATTGGCCAAACAAGTCCATTTTTTATTTGGTTTTTTTTAAACCAACAGGAACTCAGGGTGCTGCTCCCTAAAAACACACACACGCACCAAACAAAAAACGGGCTGTTGCGACCCCTTGCGACGGTACTCGCGGCGCGACCCGCCCGCGATCCTGGCTGTCTTGGACATTGCAGAAGGCCTCAGGCGACAAAAAGTTTGCGCGACAGCGTGGCGATCACTGGATGTTCCCCTTCTGTTTTGCCAGCTCTGAACTTGGCTGACAATCCCTACATCAGAAAAAAACAGGGCGATCGACTCACCTCTTTGGGGGCCATGACTAAAAATTGGACCAGGCAGGGGAAACCAACAGGTCAGACTCGGCCGATTCGCGTTGGGCGGGTGAGTCAAGCTTACACCATCAGATTTGGCTCCAGTGATCTGTACAGCACTGGCCACATGGGCACCTTTTTCTTGCGTAGTTAAAGGGGCACCAAAAGGAAAACAACATTTATAGTCATTCATATGTTTGTTGCTATTGCTTCTTTCTTTGGGGTGGTGTCCCCGGAGAAAAAAGACACACCCACATTGATGTTCCGGCCATCGCGCGTTCCCAAACTTACGCGAACCTGTCCAAATTTGCTCGTAAACGCTCCTTTTGCAAAAGGACGGCAGATATCCGCTATCGGGATTGTCCTTATCCTGAAGTTTTGATGTCTCGAAAAGCAAGTCAACTTCCCATGTGTTGCTCGCCGCAAGAAGCGCTTGCCGAATCGCCCCAAGGATTGCCGTGGCAAAAATTGTGATATGGGTGTGTCTCAACATAGGAACCCATTAAAGGGGTAGTTTCCCTTTGAGGCACACCCAAAAGGTGTATCCTAAAACACACGCACAAACCCACACCCATAGGCCAAACGTTCTCAGAAAAAGCTGGCGAGGAAATCAAACAGAAAATCAGACGCCACACTTGTCTGGCGGATTTGAACTGAAAAACGAACCGCAAGTGCAAACTGATTTTTATCAAAAGGGCCCCGGTGCCATACTCCATTGGAGTCCGCTTTTGAGCGGGAAACAGAACCCCCTGGAAACGGGAGTAAATTGTGCTGCCCGGCACACAGGGGGAAGCGTGCAATCTGTCCAAACCCTAGTTTTGCTTTGATCAAAAGCCATCCTCTGCAATTGGGTTTGAATGAAACAGCAAAAAGATACCCTCGCTTCAAGAGACACCATTGGATGGTGGGGCTAAAACCGCCACAAACAAGTTGTTCGAGTTTGACACCTTTGGCTTCTAGGTCCTCCAGTAGAGAGGTTTGAATAAGGGTACCCTTTTTCTGTAGTCTATTTTAGGGGAACCCTCCCTCAAAAAGGGTAGAGAAGGGCACCTAGCTGGGGGACCTAGGAGACTTCTTGGCTGCCTCAAATCGGCCAACTTCCCAGCGCAGCCCTCGCTTTCGGGCGCAGGCCAGCTCGCTGCCGTTCACAATACGCTCACCTCGCAACAAGCGACACGGCAGGTTTTTGCGGCGGCAGGGGGTTCAGCCAGTCAGAGGGCCAAACCATTTGTTTGAACATGCAAAAAAAAAGACACCGCATGTCAATTGAAACATCTAGGGAATTACCTGGGGTGGGCAATTCAACCCCCTAAATATGCAGGACCCATTGCTTCAACAACCTCCTTTCAACTTGCCTTGGCATGCCGAGACGGGGCCAAAGGTGTTTGACAGCTCCATGAATCCGCCAGGTTTGTGTGTGGGGTCCCCAGGGAGGTTGAGGGAAGGTGCCGCGGATGTTGAATATAGGTATACGATATAGTATTATATATATATGTCGGGGGGGGGTTACCATATATACATATGTATACATATATATATATATAATATATATATATATGCATGTATATATTATTCCATAGGCTGATGTTCTTACAAGTGGCCACCTCCACGAAAAACTAGTGATTGGGAGCTTTAGGGTGCTTGAAGGAGGACGAACGCTAAAAAAGGCGTAAAATTGGCAAGTATTTTCTCTCGTCGCCAAACATGGGGAACCAGCTTGTCTGGGAAACATGGGTAAAAATCAGGGGGTGTATGACGGTGTATGTACTGTACATACCTTCAAAGGATTGCCCCTCCCCCCCCAAAAAAAAAGAAGAAAAGAGAGTATACAGTACACCCCTTATCTGTGGGTGAAGCATGGAGGCACCCTTTTTGGAAACGCGCCCTCACTGAGTCCTTCTTAGCCTCATGCAAGCTGGGTGCTCCCCAGAAATGAGGGGGTTATTAGTTTTAGTTTTATTGAGGCTCGTGTCTTTGACTTGGGACACCGCTTACATGGCAAAAGGCTCACAGACTGTCCTGACATTGTGAAGAAAATATGATGAATCTTTGGGGCCGACTTGGGAGAAAGAGTAGGGGCCCTTTGTGACATGTGGGTGTGAGTCAAAAAATAGGTACGAGTACCCAAAATGGTTGCCCTGGTGAAAATATAAACCTGGACTGCTCGATCCTCTAAAAGCAGACCGCATACCAAGCACCGAAATGGGTCCAACCAAAGACGGCCAACCGGGGTGGGGGGGGTAACATGTTTGACCACTGTGGGAAGGGGGTGTTTCTCAAAACGGTCCCCTAACATGCCTGGTGTTCTTTTTCCCTTTAAATGCCAACTGCGAGGGTAGCTCATTTTGAGGAGCACCATATGGCTGTGGCTCAAAAAACCGGTGCCAAAATGGAACCCTGGTAATTAAGTGGAAGCATGGACCAACACCTGCGGTTTGCCCCTCCGGTCGTTTAGTTTGGAACCACAGCCATAGCGTTTCGCCCCGAGTATCAGCCTTGCTTGGAGCCCCTGGCTTTGCCACCCGCCGAAGGTGATCTCACTCTCCTCCTGCCGTGGCACCGCGCAGGGAAAGCCGCGCCGGGGCGGTTTTGGTGGGAAGGAATCGTCTACGTATGCCTAGGTCCTCCAGATTTGAGAGGTTAGACCAAGGGTACCCCATTTTGTTTTCTGTAGTTTATTTTAGGGGAACCCTCCCAACCAGAAAAGGGGCAAAAGGGCACTACTGGGGACCTAGATGCCATAGGCTATAGGCCGCACTAACCCAACGAAAGCCGTAGACTCGGAGCTCGACGTGGCTCAGTGACTTCATGTTGTCTTGTATTCGAGGCAGCCCTTTCAAAACCAAATAGAACATGGCGAAGGGTTACCGCACGGGATCCACGGGCTTTCAACCCACCGAAACCGTGGCGCTTTCTGGGGGCACTTCATCCTAGTGGCTGAAGTCTAGCTGCTTCTTAGTGAGGCTGCCTCTGCTTCAATGCCTTCACTTTCTCATTCTTGGTAGGGAATGCTGTTTGAATGACCAAACGTTGCGAATGGCTGATGGTGTTCTTTCAAGCCATTCCCATAATTCAGAGCAATGTGCAATGTCTACCCCACAATCGGGAAACCCTGCCTCCTCCTTCCTTGTACCCAAAGAAAAAATGGGTGGCTACAAATTTAAGAGCCAGGGGACCGCAGGTTCTAGTCTTGTCCATTTACAGTACCAAGAGTCCATTTTGGGCCCCGTTGTTTGAGCCACACCCAAATGCATTGGCTAAGGGTACGTCCCCCGCTGCAGTACAAGGGCTAGGGATTGCAATCACAGCCTCGCCAAGTTGGCACAACCGGCACAACCCCGAAGCACCGCTTGGGGCAAAACAAGCCGACGTCAATGCTCACCCGCTCGCGAATGCCCTGTGTTGAATGACCTTCATGCGCAGTGCAAATCGATCCCCGATTATCTCAGTTAGTTGCCCCATTTCCATGGCGGAACAAACAACACCTTGGTATTTGTGCCCAAAGCAAAACCCAAATGAGAGACAGAGAGAGAGAGAGAGAGAGAGAGAGAGAGAGAGAGAGAGAGAGACACAGAGAGACACAGAGAGACACAGAGAGACA